GTATTTATGTTGTGTATATATATGGCAAAAGATTTTAGGGAAAAAGTAAAACATGAAACTTTTTTAGTTGTTTTGAGCCATAATCTTTGACACATGCAAACAGAATCATTTTCTCACCAAACTGTATAGAAACACAAAACAACTAAATGTCAGAGAGCTACAAAAAGGCATGAAGTACTCACAGAGTGAAGAAACAAAGAAAATAAAGATATGAACATAAAACAGATAATAATCCAAATAAAGGAAAAAGAAACTTATAAATACAACATGCAAAACAACCCGTTTTGGTCAAACCTGACTGAGTTATAACAGCTTCTGAGTGACATAAAAAAGTTAATCAGGATTTGGTGTGGACCCAATGATTACTATCAGAAATTTAATTTAAAAGCTGTTCAGTAGTCCACTTTGCTAACGGTGCTGACTGCAAAAGCCGACGTTAAATTTCAAAATAAATGTCTTCTGCGAAGAGTCGTGTTTGAGTTTATGTGTCTATCTCTGCTCCACCCATACAAGTTTAGGGTAATATCTATAAAACTCACTGATTTCTTTTTATTTTTGTGTTGTCAGAGTTGAGTGGATGTTTATGTCCATCTTGAATCGAACTAACAAAAGTTTTTTTTATTTGTAGACATTAATTTAAATGATTACTTCTTGACATCTTCGTTAAAATCTGCCCATTGCTTTATGAGATAGTTTTCTAACAGGTGGCCGACAAAAACATTATCATCTGCATTAAAATAAAAAAAGAAAAGCATAATAAAGGTTTTATACACAGTTAAAAATAAAAAAACAGCAACAGTAAAATTATATAAGCAACATTTATTATGTAGTTTTGGCTGCAGGTGAGAAAGGCCCTAATGTTTACAAAGAGCTGGTGTTTGTGTGTTTTATTTTTAATATTGTTGTACGTTTTAATGTCCTATTTCTGCCATGACAGCCTCACCCAAACGTTAATTAACCAGGGGGAGGAGGAGGGGAGCGTGTCTCTGCTCCTGTGCGCGTCCACGTGCGTGTTTTGTCGGCGGGGACTCGCCCCCCCACCCCGGACGCGCGTATCCGCCACGGCGCGATATGTCCGCCAGGGGGCAGCTGTGTCCCGGTCTGAGGCTGCGCCGCTCCCGCTGCATCACAGCGAGGAAAATACCACCAGATGGCGGTTTAGGATTGCTGCTCTATATCAAGGCGCGGTTCCGCTCGCACGGCCAATTTTCAATATAAACATACCAACTATTTTCAAAGTAAAATCGATTGTATGTTTGGGAAGGCGATAATCGATTCGGCGATGCCCGTTAAAGGTGAGTGTCTGGTGTTTTTTTTGTCGTGTTTTGTGCGGCGGGAAGCACGGAGTAAAGATGGTGGACACAGACATGGGAAGAGAAGACTGGTCGGTTGGGGGATGGGCGCTAGCAGCTAACGGGGCTGAATGTGCTTTCTCTCTCTTCCTCCTCACTTACATTATAGCCTAGCGCGGCTATTAGCTTCCGAGCTAGCTCCTACATTTCGGCGACGCAGCTCGGCTCGGAGGGGAGCTAGTTGCCAGCTCTGGTTCTGCCACCGGTTTGGACTCGGGGCTGAAGTGGGGTCTTGTCAACAAACACAGAGCTGTGCCGCGTGACGTGTTTTCTTGTTGTGTGCAGGCAGGATTCAGTGCATCACCATGTCTCATTCCCGCCGCGGYATATGAATGTACAGTATTTGACTTCCTGCCGAGCGGTGCTCTCTGTGCTGCTGCTTCTTTATTTGCTGAAACTCCGTTTGTCTCAGCGCGTTGTTGTTACCATGCAGGTCTTTTTTTTTTTTCAATTTTATGCGCCAAAATGCACAATGTAAAACATCCTTCTACTTATTTCCTGTCAGCATCTTCTTTTTTTTCTTGGTTTATTAATTTACATAAAAAATAACAATCTTGTAGCTTTTGCAAAACAATAATAACACTTATTATTATTATTTTTTTTAAACTGAAGCTGGAGAATGGAGTCCTACACGTTTTACAAGATTATTATGGCGCTTCTTTCCCCTTCCCGCCCCCTTCCCGTGCGGGAAACAGGCAACAGTGAGCGGGGAAACATGAGTCACAGTGGAGGAGGGGGGGGATGGGTTACACCAGCCCAGTTCCCCTCCACAGTGACCCCTGAACAGCTCACCCTGTGCACGGTGCCTGCTGGCTGTTGCATGAATCTCAGGTTGTTGCGTAACTGCTTTGTTTACAGTCAGCTGTGTGATTCCTCATCAATCAGGCTGGCCTGTTTGCCGCCTGAGTACTTCCTTAACTTCATATTTTTCAACCCACATTGCACAAATCATACTTATTTTGGTTTAAAGAACAAGGTGAAGCCCCCCCCCCCCCCCCCCCCCCCC